GAGCAAAATTTTAGTCAAAATGGTGCGGCTTGTAATCGTGAAATTACTGTAGTGTGATTTGGCTGATATTCATACAGGAGCCATACAGAGGTCTTGTAGCATGTGTTAATCACAAAAGAAATTATTGCAGTGATTTATATCTGCATGCTCAGAGTGGCACAGCTAAGATGAAAATGTAATTATGCATCTATAAAATAGAACATCCCATTGTTTTACATAATTCTGTCTTGGTATTTTAAATTGCAACTGTGTCTTTGTTGACACTTTACATACAAATAGTTTCCTGTTTAAGTAATTGTCCTGGTTTAAAGGGACAGTATTGTCGGGAAAAGGAAAAGGCAAGAGTTTTTTCTTTCAAGAAATGGATAGTGAAAATCCACTCCCTCCCAGTTTATTACAATTTGGAAATTCAGGAACTCTCAGGCAAAAGGTATGGTTTTGGAATAACAGTTCTTTACTGATATATCTACAAGACAAACAAAAACAGCATCAGCTATGAGAAAAAAAAAAACAGAGACAGAACAGAACGAAAACTCAGTGTCAGTCCCTTTCTCCAGTCACAGATGCCCTCCTCCTCCGCACAGTCCCGATGGAGCAGGGCAGGGCAGCCTCGCAGTCGCGGCTGCTGCAGGAGCAGGGGAGCGGGCGGCAGCGGCCGTCCCAGGTGGGAGAAAAGGTACAGGGAAGAACTCCGCTCACCGTGGGTGTCCTGGTTCTCAGCGTTGTTCTCAGAAGCAGGAAGCTTTAGCAGTCGAAGTCCAGGGGCCTGATCCCACCACTGAGAAAACAACCTCTCTCCCCGAGTTCCGGCAGGTGAACTGCCAGTGTCCCCCCACCTGCCGAAAGACAAAGCAGCACTCCACCTTCAGCTGTCCCTTTGTCTTGAGCACTTAACGGCTAAAAGGGGAGCCGCCCTGGCCAGCTTAACATAATAATGGGAAAAATTTCTAAAAACTCCCCCAGCCCACAACAGTAATTTACAGTGCTTCAAAAAATGGAAATGTAGGGATAGTCAAAATTAATAGGTTACCATTTCTCCTCTGAGTATGCTGCATGTATCTTTTAATCCAGAATTGTAATCTTGTTATTGTCTGTACAGCCGTGATCACATCTTGCTTAGAAATACAGCATCATGGTAATAGCAACCATACAAATAATGGCACTTGGCAGGTCCATCTGCAGGTTTCCCCCTTAAATGCTGTCTATAAGCTCTACAGAGGTACAAATTTGTCTGGAGGTTTGTGTACTCTTTAAGATGATGATGTTTTTAAGGCTGGGAATGTGTTGAGGAATAACCTGCGGAAGGGCCATGTTTAATTCTGACCCGTTAACCAATTGTAAAGCATCGATGATAATTTTTAAAAATAGTAATGCAATATTTATGTAACTTGCGTGTACTTTGTGTATTACCAGTACTGTGGTTACTGAATTGTGTTAAATTCCTTAATAAACCCAAAAACCATTGCAGCAAACAGAGAAAACCCAATTCTGACTCGTGAACTTGTGTACTCCACTGGAACCACTTACCAGTTGTGTGGTAAGCAGAAAGCAGGGCGATAAAACAATTTGAGGGAGTAGTTTGGAAAAATCTTCTTCAAAGCAGTTTGGAAATTCTTCTTCAGGGAAGCAGTAAGGAAACCCTCCCTCACACCCCTGTTAAGACCAAGTAAGTGTTAATAAATTCTACTTCATTTAACAGTCTCCAGAGCTAACTTGAAGCTTATTCTGGCCAATGGTTCAAAGGAACCTTGAAGAACAAAGGAATTTGAATATAACTAATTAGAAAGGTATGCTAATATTGTCCTCATTTTGAAGGAGTATGATTAATTTAGAAAAGCAAGGAAGAGTATTGGGAAATGTCACAAAAGCCAGGGAAAACTGTAAAGGTGTGTAACCCCTGAGAGCATTTTTCCTCGATTCCTGCAGTATCGTTCCACGTATTATTGATGACACTCTAAGAGGCAAAGTTGACCTGTTTTTGTTTTTCCTTTGTTAGAAATTACTGATGTGTTGCTTTGATAAAACAGGGCTTGATATATTCTACAGGTTCTTATTTAGGCAGAAACTTTACATGCTCTTAATATTTATGCATGTATGTATTATTATATTTTGTTTATATACCAACAAATTATAAAATGTGCTTTACTTGATTGTTGTGCATATAAAGAGTATTGTAAAAATTGTCTTCAGGCTGTGGCTGGTATTTTGACAGATGGATGTATTTTGGGGTAGGAAGTGAACATGGTAGTTGAGAGTTCTTTCCCATCCTTCTTCTGATGGTGAGCCACCCAAGTTGGATCCACCAACATGTGCACTACTCTTTTATGGAAGAAAATGGCTCTAGTTCTCTGTGAGTCTGACTTTCCTCCTCTGCACAAGGAATGTCTAGTGGTCATGTATGGCTGAGGTAAAGAAATGCCTGGTCCTAAGCATTTCAGCAACTAAGAAGAAGTGTCCAGCTTAGCTGATTTTGAGAAACATGTAATGAGGTCACATTGCACTGTCTCCTGACAAAGTGTTTTACTTGAATATTGTCAAACATACCTTACATTTCTCTGCATTGGTCCATCTGAAACCTTCAACCCAAAATCAGCACATTCTGAACACATTTCTGATTGTTAGAATCCAGGTGTCTGTAGTCCCAGGTGAGGCAACATCTTTTTCATGTTCCTAATTTTCCTTGTTTAAAGTGAACTTTTGGAACATGGTAATAGTGTGGGATCCATCATAGCTGCTTTGAAATTATTTGAAAGAGATGTTTTAGCATTTCTTGCAGGGTGGGAAGGTGCTGACCACTCTTAGCATGCAGAAGCCAGCAGTTCCTGCAAACAGCAGCTTTGTTATCAGTGTAAAGCATCCTCTCTTGAAAGGCAGGGATTAAGATTTCAGCAGAGCCTGGATCAATGAGATCTGTAGTTCAGGGTTATGACAATACTTGTCAGGAGAAAGCACAATTATCTGGTTTTTAATTGTCAAAATGTAGTCGTTTCAGTTTGAACAGATGCTTCATCAGCTCAGATGTCTCGAAGCTTTTGCTTTGACAGTCACACACTTCATAGAACATGAAGCTTCTCATTACTGCTCTCATACTTAATGAGTAAGTAATGAACAGCAACTGGCATATGCCCTGAGCAAGGGTTTTGATATACAGTTTCCCAGTGCTCTTCATATTACATGGTTGAAAAGGAGAGAGAAAGTGGAGTAGCCTCATTTAGTGAGTGAGCAGCGATTGTCTCCTGCTGTGAGTTTTGGCTTGGCATCAGAGAAGTCCCTGTATAATATTCCTTAACCTCAGAGCAGGAAAAACTGCTCTTCAGCAGGATCCCTTGTGTCCAGCGTGCCCTTCACTGTTCTCTGTAGGTCACAGCTAAAAGTCAAAGTATGATTTATGGTGAGGCTAAGCTGACCTAACTGCTGACTTACCATTGTGCCACCTGAGAAATGGTGTCAGTATTAGGGGTAGTGGAGGGTTGGTAGTGTGGCCATGGGGACAGGGGAGGAGTAGCAGCCTCTTGACTTGGTTGGAACCCAGGTAGAGTTTTACAATATGAATCAGTTAATCTGTACTTTTGGTGGTGACATTTAAGGTTGTTTTTGCTTCTGCTTCCTGAGAAAGCTGCATTTGGATGTGATTGGCAGGTTTCTAAGTAGCTTGGTAACTGTTTCTTCTATTTAATAATAATTAGTTGATTGGGAGATTGTCCTGTTTTGATTGAGTTCAGTCTTGCAGACCAAAGGGCAGCAGTGCCTCATGCTCTGATTTGACAGTTGTGATTCAGCAATGGCACTTGAAAATAATTGCAACTAGAGGTGTAACTGTGATCAGCTTTTGCCTCCTCATGGATATTTCCATTGGAATAGCCTCACTGACTGGAGGTCCCACCATGTGTCCTCAATTGATGAGCAGCTTATCTCTCCATGAGAGTTGTTTTAAGTATGGCTGAGTTGTTTAGGAGGAGGGGGAATTTCTTCTTCACATTTATTATTGGAGGTCATGCTGATTCAATCTATTTATGCTCTACTGCTGCTTTTTCTGGTGATAGGATTTTTTCCCCCATATGGGTGTGGTTGAATTTATTTGCTTTAAATAAATTGAAATTGTCTATACTTAAAATATTTTAAAATATTTGTCAAGCAGGTTAAAGCTCAAGATATTTTGTAAAGAATAGTAATTTCACAGTGTGGAGTGAGTAGCAGCTACATTTGTTATCTGCCATGCAGTTGAAGGATTTGAGGGTCCCATGAGAACCTGGGAACTTGTCTAAGTGCTGCAAGGAGATATAATAGGAAGTCATGTCTGCTTGAGAGAATTTATATTTTAAATAGACAGAAATAAAAAAATGTGAGATATGTGCACAGCAAAGACAATAATACTTTCCTATTCCAGAATCATGCTACCTAATTTAGGATGTTTAGAGAATGTGGTGGTATCAGGACCTTGATGATCTCCTCCCATGATAATTCAATAGTGCTTGCTAGCATGCCTCAGTTTTACTTTGTTTTTCTGTAACAAGACTTTGACTGCAATCCCAAAGAGATCATGTATAATTAATTACTGAAGTAAGGTACTACTAATAAAAAGGTTTAAAGTTGCTTTTTTCTCCTAACCTTAGAAATCTGCTTGTTTTGTTTGTAACAGATATGTCAAGAATTCAACAGCACTTGGGCTTGGGAGATGGAAAAAAAAGGATACCTAGAAATGAGTGTTGAATGCAAACTGGGGATTCTGAAGG